GTGACTACGCCTCAACAATTTATGAGATGCAGTATAAGCATTACTAGGTATTGTTTGGCCCTCTCGTGATAAAAAAATGTTGGGCGCAAATCTACATTTAGTGATTTTCAATGCTGTAAATTTGGAATTTTGGTTAACTTCTTTAATTGGCTGAATTGAAATGGAACTTATCCCAACCCTGCTGCTTCTGTTTAGCAAATGATGTATGTCTGGACTTAAGAACTGTTTACATTTTTTGCTTTTAAATCGTGAAGCTAGGGAAGTGGATTTCCCAAACTTGGGATAATAAAGCCTCTGCTGAGTCCCCAACAACCGGATGTTCCGGTTTTCAGGGGAAATGGAACGAGAGCCTTTGGATATTCCTGTTTTCAGGGGAAATGGAACGAGAGCCTGTGGATATTCCTGTTTTCAGGGGAAATGGAACGAGAGCCTGTGGATATTCCGGTTTTCAGGGGAAATGGAACGAGAGCCTGTGACACGACTTCTGCTTTTGGACAATAACAAAGCAACACTCCATCTTAACTCCTCCTCCACATTTACTGGATTGGTTGAACAGTGCAGAAGAGAACCTCCTTATTTTCTTCTCATCTAGACCAGTATGTAGGGGATCTAGTTTAAGGCATTTATTTTACGCCTGCTACGTTAGCTAATGGATAACATGACAAACGTCACTTGACTTGATAGAAACCTCTTCCCAATTTTTTATTTTATTTTTTATTTCACCTTTATTTAACCAGGTAAGCCAGTTGAGAACAAGTTCTCATTTACAACTGCGACCTGGCCAAGATAAAGCAAAGCAGTGCGATAAAAACAACAACACAGAGTTACATATGGGGTAAAAAAAAAAACATAAAGTCAAAAATACAACAGAAAATCTATATACAGTGTGTGCAAATGTAGCAAGTTATGGAGGTAAGACAATAAATAGGCTTATATATGTGATTATATACGAATGTGTGATTATACTATAGTGGCTTGAATTAAAATGAATTATAAGATGGTTTATAAGTAATTTGTGAATGGTTAATTATTAGTTTATATATGTATTATATAAATCTGTAATAAGTCTTAATAACTCTGTAAAAAATATGTTATAAATGTAAATATGTAATAAAACACATCGGTTGAAACTGTGTGATATTTTCTTTATGTCTACCGTTCTAATACATCTCAATTGATGATCCACCCTATGGCTCTAGTTTCTTAAAAGATAACTATATATTCTTCATATGTTATTCGAATATTAATAGATTATCTTACTGAAAACAAAAGACCAACACAATGGAAATACAGAAAAAAAAAAGACTATTTTATTGAATTATTTACAGTTGACTACAGAGGAGAAAAATGTTGAACAATGCGTTCCGTGGTTTACATCATATCCAATGCATTTACAGGTGGCAGATCATCTCTATTCGGTCACGGATACGTTTTTTTCTTTTTTCTGTTTCAGCTAAGAGCATAAGAGCAATTTTGAGTTTCTTTTTTGAAGAAGCTCTTTGCTCTAAAGAGGCAAGATTTCAGCCTGGTCTTTGATCTGTTTAAAAAAGTCATTTTTTTTTTTTGTTGAAGTTTTACCCAAATTTCAATGTTTACAACGCTGGTTGAAATGAGATGAAAACAGTACTGGTTGATTACTTTTTGTGTTTTCCACGTAGATTCCACGTTTAAATAGGTTGACAAATGACGTTGAAACAATGCTGATTCAACCAGTGTGTGCCCCAGTTGGGGTAGGTGTAGAGTCCCTCCCCTTCCCTCACCTTATCTCGCCAATGTTCTTTTTCTATTTTATTTCTATACTGAACAGAAATATGAACGCAACATGTAAAGTGTTGGTCCAATGTTTCATGAGCTGAAATAAAAGATCCCAGAAATTTTCCATACGCACAAAAAAGCTTATTTCTCTCAAATGTTGTGCACAAATGTGTTTACATCCCTGTTAGAGAGCATTTCTCCTTTGCCAAGATAATCCATCCACCTGACAGGTGTGGCATATCAAGAAGCTGATTAAACAGCATAATCATTACACAGGTGCACCTTGTGCTGGGGACAATAAAAGACCACTCTAAAATGTGCAGTTTTGTCACACAACACAATGCCACAGATATCTCAAGTTTTGAGGGAGTGTGCAATTGGCATGCTGACTGCAAGAATGTCCACCAGAGCTGTTGCCAGAGAATTGAATATTCATTTCTCTACGTCGTTTTAGAGAATTTGGCAGTATGTCCAACCGGCCTCACAACCGCAGACCACGTGTAACCACGCCAGCCCAGAACCTCGACTTCCGGCTTCTTCAACTGCAGGATCGTCTGAGACCAGCCATCCGGACAGCTGATGAAACTGAGGAGTATTTCTATCTGTAATGAAGCCCTTTTGTGGTGAAAAAAAAACTAATTCTGATTGAGTGGGCCTGGCTCCCCAGTGGGTGGGCCTGGCTCCCAAGTGGGTGGGCCTAAATGCAAGTGGGTGGGCCCTAATCGATAGATTAGGGCCTAATTAATTTATTTAAATTGACTGATTTCCTTATATGAACTGTAACTCAGTAAAATATTTGAAACTGTTGGATGTTGCATTTACAAAAACAGATCTTGGACCAGATTCATTCAATCCCATATAGTTCCAACATACTTCATCCAATACATTCAGACCTGATAAATAGTGAAACGGCCTGTGTTTGGCTTTAACACCTGTCCGTCCAGCCAATCATCTTATCACCCGATTGAGTCCAGATCTTCAGTTACAACCCGTCTTATGACACTATACAGTGGGGGAAAAAAGTATTTAGTCAGCCACCAATTGTGCAAGTTCTCCCACTTAAAAAGATGAGAGAGGCCTGTAATTTTCATCATAGGTACACGTCAACTATGACAGACAAATTGAGAAAAAAAAATCCAGAAAATCACATTGTAGGATTTTTAATGAATTTATTTGCAAATTATGGTGGAAAATAAGTATTTGGTCACCTTCAAATAAGCAAGATTTTTGGCTCTCACAGACCTGTAACTTCTTCTTTAAGAGGCCCCTCTGTCCTCCACTCGTTACCTGTATTAATGGCACCTGTTTGAACTTGTTAATAGTATAAAAGACACCTGTCCACAACCTCAAACAGTCACACTCCAAACTCCACTATGGCCAAGACCAAAGAGCTGTCAAAGGAGACCAGAAACAAAATTGTAGACCTGCACCAGGTTGGGAAGACTGAATCTGCAATAGGTAAGCAGCTTGGTTTGAAGAAATCAACTGTGGGAGCAATTATTAGGAAATGGAAGACATACAAGACCACTGATAATCTCCCTCGATCTGGGGCTCCACGCAAGATCTCACCCCGTGGGGTCAAAATGATCACAAGAACGGTGAGCAAAAATCCCAGAACCACACGGGGGGACCTAGTGAATGACCTGCAGAGAGCTGGGACCAAAGTAACAAAGCCTACCATCAGTAACACACTACGCCGCCAGGGACTCAAATCCTGCAGTGCCAGACGTGTCCCCCTGCTTAAGCCAATACATGTCCAGGCCCGTCTGAAGTTTGCTAGAGTGCATTTGGATGATCCAGAAGAGGATTGGGAGAATGTCATATGGTCAGATGAAACCAAAATATAACTTTTTGGTAAAAACTCAACTCGTCGTGTTTGGAGGACAAAGAATGCTGAGTTGCATCCAAAGAACACCATACCTACTGTGAAGCATGGGGGTGGAAACATCATGCTTTGGGGCTGTTTTTCTGCAAAGGCACCAGGACGACTGATCCGTGTAAAGGAAAGAATGAATGGGGTCATGTATCATGAGATTTTGAGTGAAAACCTCCTTCCATCAGCAAGGGCATTGAAGATGAAATGTGGCTGGGTCTTTCAGCATGACAATGATCCCAAACACACCGCCCGGGCAACGAAGGAGTGGCTTCGTAAGAAGCATTTCAAGGTCCTGGAGTGGCCTAGCCAGTCTCCAGATCTCAACCCCATAGAAAATCTTTGGAGGGAGTTGAAAGTCTGTGTTGCCCAGCGACAGCCCCAAAACATCACTGCTCTAGAGGAGATCTGCATGGAGAAATGGGCCAAAATACCAGCAACAATGTGTGAAAACCTTGTGAAGACTTACAGAAAACGTTTGACCTGTGTCATTGCCAACAAAGGGTATATAACAAAGTATTGAGAAACTTTTGTTATTGACCAAATACTTATTTTCCACCATATTTTGCAAATAAATTCATTAAAAATCCTACAATGTGATTTTCTGGATTATTTTTTCTCATTTTGTCTGTCATAGTTGACGTGTACGTATGATGAAAATTACAGGCCTCTCTCATCTTTTTAAGTGGGAGAACTTGCACAATTGGTGGCTGACTAAATACTTTTTTTCCCCACTGTATCTTGTGCACACATGCACAAGCACGATTTAGCGGCCGTGTGTGTGTTGCTGTTGCTTGAGGAATGAAATAAATGCTGGTGTGGGACAGGGTTTGGGTTAGAGTGAAGGAATTAGCTAGAGAGGATGGGATAAGGATGCTGGAGATGGAGGCAAGAGAAGGTCGTCTGGGCCAGTTGTGTTGTTGAAGGGCTTCCTATAGGCTTGAGAACTTTGGATGGCGTAGAGTTAGATGACATAGTTGGCCATACTTAGATTTGGAGTGGTGGGTACAGTAGGTAGGGGTAGTTAGTTGGCATGACTGGGTTTGGGTCAGGTTGGTTTAGGTTGGGTTGGGTTGGGTTTGTTGTGGGTTAGGTTGGTTTGGGATGGGTTTGTTCTTGGTTGGATTTGGTTGGGTTTCATTTGTTCTGGGTTGGTTATATGGTGATATCAATGGTTATTTTAGGGTTGGGAGTGTTACTTTAGATACTTTAGATAGGCAGAGTTAGATGGTGTAGTCGGCCATAGCAAGAGTGGGGAAGGTAGCTGAGGCTTGGAGAGTTAGGGTTAGAGTCGGATAGAGTAGGGCAGGGTAGGGAGGTAGGTGGGGTAGTTGGTATGGCTGTTGGTTTGTGTTGGGTTAGGGCTATATGTTTAGTTTGTGATCCAGTGGAGGAGCAGGGGAAGGAGGAGCAGCAGGTAGCTGAGACTTCCTTCCAGCTTGGATACGTTTCCTGTCACGTTGCAGTCATCAGAGAAACAGCAGTGAACTCTGACCCCTGGCGACCGGTAACCCTGACTGTTGGCCTGGCTACAGAAAGACTTGTAGGAGCAGGACTTCATCACTCCGCCTGAGAGAGAGAGAATGAGACAGAGCAAAAGAGAGAGAGAGAGGAGAGAGGAGACGAAGAGAGAGAGAGAGAGAGAGAGAGAAGAGAGAGAGAGCTAAGCAAGAGAGAGAGAGAGATAGAGAGAAATAGAGAGAGAGAGAGACAGAGAGAGACAGAGAGAGACAGAGAGAGACAGAGAGACAGAGAAAGAGAGAGAGAGAAGAGAACAGAGAGAGAGAGAGAGTAGATAGATAAAGACAGACAGAGAGAGAAGAGAGAGAGACAGGAGAGACATAGAGAGAGAGAAACACATAGATACAGAGAATGAAGATATAGAGAGAGAGAGAGAGAGATATAGAGATAAGATATATAGATATTTAGAGAGGATAATAATACATAGAGTAGAGATAGATAGATACAATACAAGATAGAGATACAGATAAGGGTATATATAGTAAAAAATATAGATAGATAGAGAATAGATATAGATAAGAAACAGAATAGATAAGGTTGTAGTCGGTGTCGAGAGGTGGCAGAGGAAGAAGAGAGAGAAACAGATAAGTGCCTTTGTTAAAACACAGGGTAACGTTTTACGTAAAGCCTGCAGGTATTTCTATTTGTATTTATTAGGGATCCCCATTAGCTGCTACGAAGCAGCTACTCTTCCTGGGCTCCAAACACATTAAGGCACTTACATTACACATAAAACAAAAGATAAAACAGTACATCATATAACATTATTACACCACTACATATCTACAATACAAAATGTATAATACCACCATACAACAATGTTACAGTGTAGGTGTGTGTAGGGTGTGTGTGTGCTAGCGCTTGTATGCATGTGTCTCTACCTGTGTGTGTCTCACTGTTCCATAAAGTGAATTTTACCCGTTTTTGAAATCTGTCTATATGTAGTACTGTACGCCTCCCATAGTCTGTTCTGGACTTGGAGATTGTGAAGAGACCTCTGGTGGCATGTCTTGTGGGGTATGCATGGGTGTCCGAGCTGTGTGCTAGTAGTTTAAACAGACAGCTCGGTACATTCAGCTTGTCAACACCTCTTACAAAAACAAGTAGTGATGAAGTCAATCTCTCCTCCACTTTGAGCCATGAGAGATTGACATGCATGTCATTAATGTTAACTCTCTGTGTACTTTAAGGGTCAGCCATGCTGCCCTGTTCTGAGCCAATTGTAAAGTCCCTCTTTGTGGCACCTGACCACACGACTGAACAGTAGTCCAGGTGCGACAAAACTAGGGCCTGTAGGACCTGTCTTGTTGATAGTGTTGTTAAGAAGGCAGAGCAGAGCTAAATTATAGACAGACTTCTCCCCATCTTACCTACTGTTGTATCAACATGTTTTGACCATGACCGTTTACAATCCATGGTTACTCCAAGCAGTTTAGTCACCTCAACTTGCTCAATTTCCACATTATTCATTAGAATATTTAGTTGAGGTTTAGGGTTTAATAAATGATTTATCCCAAATACAATGCTTTTAGTTTTTGGAAATATTTAGGACTAACTTATTGCATGCCACCCATTCTGAAACTAACTGTAGCTCTTTGTTAAGTGTTGCAGTCATTTCACTCACTGTAGTAGCTGACGTGTATAGTGTTGAGTCATCCGCATTCATAGACACACTGGCTTTACTCGAAGCCAGTGGTATGTCATTAGTAAAGATTGAAAAAAGTAAGGGGCCTAGACAGCTGCCCTGGGGAATTATGTTGGAGAGGCTTCCATTAAAGAACACCCTATGTGTTCTGTTAGACAGTAACTCTTTATCCACAATATAGCAGGGGGTGTAAAGCCATAACACATACGTTTTTCCAGCAGCAGACTATGATCGATAATGTCAAAATCAGCACTGAAGTCTAAAAAAAAAACAGCTCCCACAATCTTTTTTGATCATCAGTGAGCCATCTGATTCAATGAATGATGGAGCAGAGTTTGCCTTTTCCCCCCAAAATGGCATTTAAGGTATAATGCATTATGATACCGATTTAATACATTGTAAGGCTTGTCGTGACGAAGTATGACCGCTTTGTAATGTCATATGAATGAATAAATGAATGAATGAATGACATTTTCGACAGTTTGCGGCCCATCCCTTGAATCCCAGGAAGAGTAGCTGCTGTGTTAGCAACAGCTAATGGGGTTCCTTACGGGATTCATTGACACATAATCAAACATTACATGATAGAACATTACAGTGATTCACTGTGTTCTGTGCAGTGCCCACCACATATAAACATTACATGATAGAACATTACAGTGATTCACTGTGTTCTGTGCAGTGCCCACCACATATAAAACATTACATGATAGAACATTACAGTGATTCACTGTGTTCTGTGCAGAGCCCACCACATATAAACATTACATGATAAATCATTACAGTTATTCACTGTGTTCTATGCAGTGCCCACCACATATAAACATTACATGATAGAACATTACAGTGATTCACTGTGTTCTGTGCAGTGCCCACCACATATAAACATTACATGATAGAACATTACAGTGATTCACTGTGTTCTGTGCAGTGCCCACCACATATAAACATTACATGATAGAACATTACAGTGATTCACTGTGTTCTGTGCAGTGCCCACCACATACTAAACATTACATGATAGAACATTACAGTGATTCACTGTGTTTCTGTGCAGTGCCCACCACATATAAACATTACACGATAGAACATTACAGTGATTCACTGTGTTCTGTGCAGTGCCCACCACATATAAACATTACATGATAGACATTACAGTGATTCACAGTGTTCTGTGCAGTGCCCACCACATATAAACATTACATGATAGAACATTACATTGATTCACTGTGTTCTGTCAGTGCCCACCACAGTTAAACATTACATGATAGAACATTACAGTGATTCACTGTGTTCTGTTGCAGTGCCCACCACATATAAACATTACATGATAGACATTACAGTGATTCACAGTGTTCTGTGCAGTGGCCCACCACATATAACATTACATGATAGAACATTACAGTGATTCACTGTGTTTCTGTGCAGTGCCCACCACATATAACATTACATGATAGAACATTACAGTGATTCACTGTGTTCTGTGCAGTGCCCACCACATATAAACATTACATGATATAACATTACAGTGATTCACAGTGTTCTGTGCAGTGCCCACCACATATAAACATTACATGATAGAACATTAACAGTGATTCACTGTGTTCTGTGCAGTGCCCACCACATATAAACATTACATGAAAACATTACAGTGATTCACTGTGTTTCTGTGCAGTGCCCACCACATATAAACATTACATGATAAAACATTACAGTTATTCACTGTGTTCTTGCATGCCCACCACATATAAACATTACATGATAGAACATTACAGTGATTCACTGTGTTCTGTGCAGTGCCCACCACATATAAACATTACATGGATAGAACATTACAGTGATTCCACTGTGTTCTGTGCAGTGCCCACCACATATAAACATTACATGATAGAACATTACAGTGATTCACTGTGTTCTGTGCAGTGCCCACCACATATAAACATTACATGATAGAACATTACAGTTATTCACTGTGTTCTGTGCAGTGCCCACCACATATAAACATTACATGATAAAACATTACAGTGATTCACTGTGTTCTGTGCAGTGCCCACCACATATAAACATTACATGATAGAACATTACAGTGATTCACTGTGTTCTGTGCAGTGCCCACCACATATAAATATTACATGATAAAACATTACAGTGATTCACTGTGTTCTGTGCAGTGCCCACCACATATAAACATTACATGATAGAACATTACAGTGATTCACTGTGTTCTGTGCAGTGCCCACCACATATAAACATTACATGATAGAACATTACAGTGATTCACAGTGTTCTGTGCAGTGCCCACCACATATAAACATTACAAACGATAGAACATTACAGTGATTCACTGTGTTCTGTGCAGTGCCCCACCACATATAAACATTACACGATAGAACATTACAGTGATTCACTGTGTTTCTGTGCAGTGCCCACCACATATAAACATTACATGATAGAACATTACAGTGATTCACTGTGTTCTGTGCAGTGCCCACCACATATAAACATTACATGATAGAACATTACAGTGATTCACTGTGTTCTGTGCATGCCCACCACATATAAACATTACATGATAGAACGTTACAGTGATTCACTGTGTTCTGTGCAGTGCCCACCACATATAAACATTACATGATAGAACATTACAGTGATTCACTGTGTTCTGTGCAGTGCCCACCACATATAAACATTACATGATAGAACATTACAGTGATTCACTGTGTTCTGTGCAGTGCCCACCACATATAAACATTACATGATAGAACATTACAGTGATTCACAGTGTTCTGTGCAGTGCCCACCACATATAAACATTACATGATAGAACATTACAGTGATTCACTGTGTTCTGTGCAGTGCCCACCACATATAAACATTACATGATAGAACATTACAGTGATTCATTGTGTTCTGTGCAGTGCCCACCACATATAAACATTACATGATAGAACATTACAGTGATTCACAGTGTTCTGTGCAGTGCCCACCACATATAAACATTACATGATAGAACATTACAGTGATTCACTGTGTTCTGTGCAGTGCCCACCACATATAAACATTACATGATATAACATTACAGTGATTCACAGTGTTATGTGCAGTGCCCACCACATATAAACATTACATGATAGAACATTACAGTGATTCACTGTGTTCTGTGCAGTGCCCACCACATATAAACATTACATGATAGAACATTACAGTGATTCACTGTGTTCTGTGCAGTGCCCACCACATATAAAGAATGAAAACTATTAATACATAATAGTGGATAAGTTGATATTATCATCTCGCAACATGGTTAAGGATTACTCTCACACGATACAGGGTGTTGGATTTATTTTATACAGTAGTGTTTGTTTGTGCTCTCGCCAGCTCTGAGGATATGGACAGATCTGGGACCAGACCAGAAACACAAACAGATCTGGGACCAGACCAGAGACACAAACAGATCTGGGACCAGACCAGACCAGAGACACACAGAGATCTGGGACCAGACCAGAGACACACAGAGATCTGGGACCAGACCGGAGACACACAGAGATCTGGGACCAGACCAGAGACACAAGCAGATCTGGGACCAGACCAGAGACACACAGAGATCTGGGACCATACCAGAGACACACAGATATCTGGGACCAGACTAGAGACACACAGAGATCTGGGACCAGACCAGAGACACACAGAGATCTGGGACCAGACCAGAGACACACAGAGATCTGGGACCAGACCAGAGACACAAACAGATTTGGGACCAGACCAGAGACACACAGAGATCTGGGACCAGACCAGAGACACAAACAGATCTGGGACCAGACCAGAGACACACAGAGATCTGGGACCAGACCAGAGACACAAACAGATCTGGGACCAGACCAGAGACACACAGAGATCTGGGACCAGACCAGAGACACACAGAGATCTGGGACCAGACCAGAGACACAAACAGATTTGGGACCAGACCAGAGAAACAAACAGATCTGGGACCAGACCAGAGACACACAGAGATCTGGGACCAGACCAGAGACACACAGAGATCTGGGACCAGACCAGAGACACACAGAGATCTGGGACCAGACCAGAGACACAAACAGATCTGGGACCAGACCAGAGACACACAGAAATCTGGGACCAGACCAGAGACACAAACAGATCTGGGACCAGACCAGAGACACAAACAGATCTGGGACCAGACCAGAGACAAACAGAGATCTGGGACCAGACCAGAGACACACAGAGATCTGGGACCAGACCAGAGACACACAGAGATCTGGGACCAGACCAGAGACACAAACAGATCTGGACCTTGTAAGATTTCATCATGTCTGAACTAGGTTTGCAAAATTCATCTAATTTTCCCCAAATTCCAAAGTTTTCCAGAAATCCTGGTTCTAGTATTCTGCATTTCCTTCTTATTGTCTCCTGATTCCAGGAATCCTCCAACCTGGATTTCTGGAGAAACTGGGAATTTCGGGACAGTTACCAAAATGTTGCAACGACATCAACAAACATATGATTAACGTAATTAAGACCCTTGCCTGAATGTAAGTCTCTGTTATCTCTTCATGTCCCCTGGGACGGTCCCCAACTCCCTGCTGTGTCTGGGCTGGGGGTCCAGACAGAACAGCCTGTCATGTCCTTACATACACACACACGCATACACATACACACACACACACACACACACACACACACACACACACACACACACACCACACACACACACACGCATACACACACACGCATACACACACGCACCACACCACGCACACACACACACACACCACACACACACCACCCACACACACCCACACTACACACAACAACCACACACACCAAACCACCCCAAAACACACCCTCAGGATCCACTCAATACAACACCCACACCCACACACACACACACACACACACACACAAACACCACCACAAACACACCACACACACAACACACTCAGTATCCACACACAGACATGCATAACAAGGCCCACACACACACACACACACACACACACACACACACACACTTTTAAATACTTTATTTGAATCCACAAATCACATTACATTCAAGAAGGATTCCAACATTTCAAAGGCCTTTGGATGCATGGACCATTAAGGATACAGAAAGCCCCCTCTTCTCCATTCGGCTGCCCATAACAGCTGAAACAGTACCCAGCCAGTTGCTTTGCTTCAAATATCAGTGCTACTAACTTGCAGCTATGTCTAGGCTTTCAGGGCGTTTAAAGGGCTGCATTCAAAACCTGTCCCCGGGGGTCTGCTAAATTAACCGGGTAAATGAGAAACCCCTTCCAAAATGAGGCCCCCTGGGGCCTCCCACAAAAAATTTTATCTGGTACTGTGTTTGGTATCAACATCAACTTCCTGTTACACAATAATGGTGCATGTGACTGTGCTGTTGGTGAGACTTCCTGCCTCACTTCACTGGCTACCAGGTCGACAAGGCGACGCACATGTCCTTGTGTGAACAGCAACCATTCCACACTAATATGGGCAACAGACTCCGTTACACATTAGACTCATGTAGAACTACAAAATGGGTCATGGTTTGTGCGAGAGTACCAGAGTTTTAGATCACACACTCACTGTGTAACTCACTGCCATGACCTCGCACTACCGCGC